CTTACAGAACAAATAGTTTCTCATGAAACAATAGTACACATGTTGTTTTATGACATTGGTTAACAACCCCACAACATATTAACCCTCTAACTTCTCAACCTTTTTTTTTTTTTGGTGAAAATACACATAGCCAAAGATACACCGTTTCAAAAATTTCTACATGCACAGTTCAGTGACATTGACTACACTCTTACAGTTGTGCTATTATTCTCACTTAAGATGAAGGCTTACAGAACAAAATAGTTTCTCATTAAACAGTATACGTGTTGCCCTATGACAATGGTTAACAACCTCACAACACGTCAACACTATCCTTACTCAACCTTGGGTTCCCTATCACCAGTGTGCTGAATTCCTTTTGTTTGTGGATTTTTTTTTTTTCCATTTCTTTTGTTTTTATTGAGACTTTATGTTTTTCTTCTTTTTTCTGATGAGTAGTTTTGTTAACTTTCTTTGTGGCTACCTTGAAATTTACCCATATCTTCTTAGGTTTGAAGTAGTCTGTTATTACTTGGTATTGCCTTGCCTTCCTCTCCATTAGAAGGTTCTATACCTACCCGTTTATCCCTTCTTTTATTGTTCTGATGTTGTTGTCATGTACAGATTAACCTCTCTGGTTCCCTGTTGAATTCTTTTGGTTTTAAATAGTCCTTGAGAGTTCATTTCATAGGTTGATAATGGCTGGTCCTAGATTCACCCTGTGGTCCGATATTGTTTGTTCTCAGACCAAAGGACTCTGTTTAATAATAATTGTGCTTTTTTTTTGGTTTTTACATAGTCCCTTAATTTCTTTTTATCTGGAAATATCCTTATTTCACCATCATATTTGAATGAGAGTTTTGCAGGATATATTATTCTTGGTTGGCAGTTTTTTTCTTTCAGGGTCTTATGTGTTATGTGTGTCTTGCCTGCATGGTTTCTGCCGAATAATCTGAGCTTAGTCTTATTGTTTCTTCTCTGTACGTGACTTTTCGTTTTTCTCAAACTGCTGTCAGGATTCTTTGTTTGTCTTTGGTTTTAGGGAGTGTGATTACGATATACCTTGGTGATTTTCTTTTGGGGTCTATCCTATATGGGGTTCGTTGAGCTTCTTGGATGGTCAGCTTTTCATTTTTCATGATATTGGGAAAGTTTTCTGTCAGCAGTTCTTCGATGATCCTGTCTGTGTTTTCTGTTTTCTCCCCCGGTTCTGGAACTCCGATCACTTGCAGATTTTTGCTTTTGATTGTATCCCACATAATTATCAGGGTTTCTTCATTTTTCTTCATTCTTTTTTCTTATTTTTCCTCAGAGTTGTATCCAAGTGTTTGTCTTCAATTTGGCTGATCCTGTCTTCCATCATTTCAGACCTGCTTCTCAGCCCTTCTATGACACTGTCCATTTCTGAGATCTTGTTTATCTTTTGGATTTCTAATTGTTATTTTATATGATTTCTAGGTCTGAATTTATTTTGGCATTTTGTTTCTGTAGTATTTTTCTGAATTCTTCCGTTTTTTTCTCTGTATTTTCAGTGGATTTTTCTGCCTTTTCCATGAATTTGTCTATTTTTTTCCTCATTTTTATCTAGTTTTCGCTTCAATTCTTGGATAGCTCTGAATATTAGAGATTTAAATTCCCTGTCTGGTAGTTGTACTGCCTTTTCTTCTACTGCGAAGACATCTGGTGTTTTATTTTGGACACCTACTGGAACCATCCTGTCCTTTTTTTATATGCTTTGATATTGTCTGCTGTCTTCAGGACATTCAGTAGTTATTGAATGTAGATTTGTTTGTTTTGTCCTGCTTTTTTGTTTTATTTGGTTATGTTTGAGCAGGCAGGCTGTGCGTTGGTTTTTGTTTGCTCGTCTGTGGGTACGATACTTTTCACCTCTTTGTCCAACAGGTAGGGTCAGTCGCTCAGCTGTGGTGCAGCAGGGCAGGTCCAGCTGAAGGGGAGTTGGTGGTATGGGTCATTTGTGTCACGTACCAAGGCCGACAGGGCAGGCCAGGAATTAGTGCAGGGCATGTTCCCATAGGCCATGCCTGTGCTGCTTGGGGGTGTGCAGGTAGGCAGGAAGGAGGAGGAGATTGTGATGTGTGGAGCTAAGATGGGTATGGGAAAGAGGAGAGAGAAACAGGAGCTAAAAACAAACAAAGAGAAAAGAGTGCTAAGGGAGCTTTCCATTGGAGTGGAGAAATGAGAAACTGAGAAATGGAGAAAAACAAAAAGAAAAAAAAACAGGTAAAAGAAAATGAATAAATAAATAAAAATTAGAAAAATAAAGAATAGCAAAGCCCCCAGGGATCCCACCGGTGCAGCTGTGATGACTGGGATGGTGACTCCCTGGCTGCGAAGTAGAGCCTGGCTGGAGAGGCTATAGGTGTTACACAGTACCAGGTATTCAGGAGACAGAAAGAGAAGGTAAGTATAGAGAGTCAAGAAAGTGAGAAATGAAGAAAGACAAAAAGGAAAAAGAGAAAAGAAAACAAAAACAAACGAACAAACAAAAAAAAAGAAGTGTCCCCAGGGATCCCACCACGTGGCTGCATACACTGAGGGAGTAGCTCTCAAGTCACACAGTACAGCCCGGCTGGAGGGGGCTCCCAAGCCAAGAAAAGAAAAAGAAAACAAACAAACAAACCAAAAGAGAACAAATCAAAACAAACAAAAAAAGCCCTGGGGATTCCACCAGCTTGGCGGCATGGGTCAGGAAGCAGTTCCATAGTTCAGCGATGTTTCACAGCCTTTCTAGAAGCAAAGGTGGCACATGGAGCCAGGTATTTGAAAGAAAGGAGGCAGAGGTGGTGAGAGGTGTGGAAGAAACCAAAAGAAGCAGAAAAAACAACACCAGCAGCAAACAAATGGCACTCAGGGAGCCAGCCAGTGTGGGCGGGTGGAATCCAAGTGGCACAGTGCTGAAGCTGGCCAAGAGACTGTGGCCTCAGGAAGCAAAGGAAGCCGAGTGGGCATGAAGAAGGGTGGTGGGTGGGAAAGTGTATATTGCTGGTTACTGGTTGTTCTGTCTCCTGCTGGGAGCTCCATGAAGCTGCTTTCCCATACTCCCTGTTCTCTGATCTCCAGCAGGAGACCAAGATGGTGAACCTGTGCTGTTTTAGCTGACGGGGATCTCTGCTCGTGACTGACCTCACTTTCTGTGCTCTGTCAGTTTCTTATCCCATTCAGTGCTTGGCTGAGTTCTTTATGTCTTCATTTGATGCTTAGTGTTCTAGGATTGACATTTGTCTCTGACTTAGTTTTACGTGGTGCTTCTGTCTATAGTGCCATGTGGCTCAGAAATCCGTGAGTTAGAATTTTGTTCTATATTTTTCTCCAGCTCTGTCCGGGACCCTCTATTGTGATCCCCGTCAGAGCAGTAAGTGGTGGTGGCCAGATACCATGTAGTTATGCTGAATGGGCCTCTGGCAGAGGCTGTGGTAGTTGTGGTCCATTAGTCCTTTGGACTAATCTTTCCCTTGTGTCTTTGGTTGTCTTCATTCTCCCTTGTTCTGGAAGAGGTGAGACTAGTGGTGTATCTTAGATGGCTGTTCACCAAGCTTTTAAGACCCCAGATGCTACTCACCAAAGTAGAATGAAGAGCATTTTACTTATAAACTATATTATGCCAAGTGAGCTAGATGTTCCCAGAGGCCATGGTCCCCACAGCCCTAAAATGAGGTTTTCTTTTAGAACTATAGAATAAAACACGTACCAAATTTGTATCTTAGTTTGGTGAATTGTTAAAAGGTGATACTACCCAGGTTGGGGTATAAAATATTGAGGTAAAAAATAAAACTTTGACAGCCACCCCAGAGCCCTTCCATTGCCCTATCTCAATCACATCTCCTTCCCTACTATCAGTAACCATTCTTCTGACATTTATAATAATCACTTCTTTGCATTTAAAAAAAATTTCATCGCAAATTATATTTCTAGACATTATAATTACTCTTGCTCATTTAAAAAAAATTTAAATTTTTAATCTACAGGTTTTCTCTCTTTTCTTTTGCTTACAATTTATCTGATGAAGAACCTGGGCCATTTGACTTATGTATCTCCCACAGTCTAGGTTTTGCTGATTTCTTATTCATGTGCAGTTCAAGATGTTCCTCTGCCCTTTTTTATTTGGTATTTCCTGCCAGTTGGTAGCTGGATCTGAGACTGGATCAGACTCAGATTGAGTTTCTCTGACAATCTCTAAGTGATATTTGGAAAGACTATGTTGTTGTTGGGTGCCGTTGAGTCAATTCTGACCCAGTTGACCCTATGTGGTAAAGTAAAAGCAGCTTTCAAAAGATAACACTTTATTAGCTTCAGGTGCTTTTTAGATTATTTGGCTAAAACAAATAATTTTCTTTGTGTGTATGTGTATAAACCCCAAAATATTTTATTTCTAGAGTAGAACATTATGAGATAGCGTTGATTTTAAAGATTCTTACCATCAGCTTTCTAGGAATTCATAAAAGTTTTGACAGAAGAGTGGCCTAAATTGCCCCACATGAATTCTTTTAAATGTAGTACATTCTTTTAAATATAGCATCCTTTAACTCCTGTTGCACTTTTTTTTTAATTTAGACAATTCAAACTTTTTTATTGCAAACTCCAACTGCTTTTGATTCTACATAAGAAACTATGTCTCCAGAAGCCTCTAAAGCCTACGAGTCCAGTGAATCTTCAGATAGATTCATGACCGAAAAACAGGTAAACCTGAAATATTTTAAGCCAATGATTTTCACAGTATGTACAAAAGAATACTAGTTCTGCAGAATGTGAAAAATCTTACTTTGAAAGAATTTTTTTGTAAAAGATTTGAGAAAATGCTGTCTTAATGACTATTAAACGGTTTCATTACTTTCAGACTTCATAATACAGTTAGTTTCCAAAAGGAAGATTTAGTATTATGGTGGTGCAAACAGTTAAGTGCTCAGTTGCTAACCAAAAGGTTGGAAGTACAAATCCACCTGGTGGCTCTATGGGAGAAAGACCTGGCAGTCTTCATAAAGATTACAGCCAAGAAAACCCTATGGAGAAATTCTACTCTGTCACGTATCGAAATTGACTCAATGCCACCTAACAACAACATTTCCTGCTTATTTAACGCTAGTCTGATGAGCATTTCATAGACTATGTTCTACAGCACATACATTGGAAAATGTTATTCCCAGCTATTTTCAAAATTTACAATACTTTATTTTTCTTAACCTACAAGGGGTATCAGGGAATAATGTGTGTAATTTAATCATTCATAATCTGGGATCTTATTATTTACAGACCATTTGTTTTTATGAGTCACAGTGGACATCTGCTGAGAGACCCATACAGAGCTTTTGGCTCCTAAAATAGACATCAGCGGTAATTTTTGTTCTGTGTACCATCATATAGTTAGGCTTTATGGTTAGAAAGCCTAAAGCACAAATAAGGGAAAAGGTGGGGAGGGAGGGGAAGTGTAAGAAGAATAAAGGAGGGAAAAAATCATCAATCAAAAAGAAAGATTTATTTGGTACTGTGAGTCATAGTGCTATCAAAGAATCGTTAAGCCTTTCTGTTCTTTTTTTGTGTGTTGATAGATTCTTAATGTCTGAGAGGCATTTGGTTGTAGAGAATAATACCTTTATTTTTACTTTGTCTAAATTATTAATCTTTAAGCTATAATAAAACTTTACATACTGTTTGCACCACTAACGAAAAACTTATTGTATAAATTACATTTTTCAAGCATGTAAACATTGATTGAAATAAGCTTTAAATGCCTTAAAAAGCAAGTAAAGACCTTACACAGTGAATTCAAGAGGGATCGTTGTATTTACATTAAAAACTGATTATATAATTATTAATATCATAGATTTAAATTCATTTTTTCATGGTCTCTATTTCTATTCTTACTCTTATTTTATATTCTTATTTTTTTTTACTATTTCTTATTTTCTTCTCATTGTTATGTTCTTCTTCACTTAATCTAGAGAGTTAAGGTTCCCTTCTCAGGTTTAGAATGTAAATACATGTTTAGAAACAGGGATGTGAGACTTGAGAGTATCTTCAGGGTGATTATACTAGAATCTATAACCCAGATGGACATGCCCCTTTTTTGTTGTTATTTTTATTTTTTTCTTTATTGTTGTAGTTTAAGTGAAAGTTTACATTTCAAGTTAGTTTCTTATACAAAAATTTATGCAAACATTCTTATGTGATCCTGATTGCTCTCCCTGTAGTGTGACAAAACACTGCTCCTTTCCACCTTTGATTTCCCATGTGCATTCAACCAGCTCCTAACCCTTTCTGCCTTCTCATCTCACCTACGGACAGAAACCGCCCATTTAGTCTCACGTATCAACTTGAGCTAAGAAGCACACACTTCACGAGTATCATTTTATGTCCCACTGTCCAGTCCAACCTTTGGCTGAAGAGTTGGCCTTGGGAATTGCTTTAGTTCTGGGGACAGAGAGTCCGGGGGCTGTGCTTTGCAGGGTTCCTCCAGTCTCAGTCAGACCATTAAGTCTGGTCTTTTTACTAGAATTTGAGTTTTGCACCCCACCTTTTTCCTGCTCCATCAGGGACTCTCTGTTGTGTTCCCTGTTAGGTGGTCATTGTTGGTAGCTAGGCACCATCTAGTTGTTCTGGTCTCAAGATGATCCAGTGTGTGGTTTTATGTGGTCCTTTCTGTCTCTTGGGCTAATACTTTCCTTGTGTCTTTGGTGTTCTTCATTCTCCTTTACTGCAGGTGGTTGGGACCAGTTGATGCATCTTAGATGGCCAGTTGCTAGCTTTTAAGACCCCAGATGCCACTCATCAAAATAGGATGCAGAACATTTTCTTAATAACTTTGTTATAGACATGCCCCTTTTTATAGTTAGACCTTGTCTATTTTACAAGGAACTATCTGAATTAATTGGCTCTGACCAGACAGATTTTTAATTTTTTTTGTGACTCTAGTCATTATTAAAGTAACATTTGTTTTTGAGTGACTTACCTTTTCTTTACTATTTAATTAATAGAACCTAATTTACAGCTGTTTCTTCTAAGCAGGGCCTGCTCTGATTCAGTTAAATCTAAAACTTTAGGCTTGTTTGGTTCATTGAAATTACAAGGGTGTTTTGTTGTTGTTTTGTTTTAATTTATACATTAAAACCTACCATATGAATATTCTGGGATTGTACAATACAATGATTTGTGCTTATTTGCATCCTTCAAGTCTGCTGTTAATTTTGTTAGAAACAAGTTGATTTGTAAAATGTAATCATTATATATGCGTAAAAATTCTTATATTTTAAGAATACCTTTTGGAGAAAAAATTCTGTTGTCTGAAAACAAAGGAAATTATATACAAGAGGGTACTTCTTTACTTTATATCTTATCCTTTTCCCTTTCCTTGTAATTGTAGCAAGAGGAAGCAGAATGGGAAAGCATAAATGTACTGTTGATGACACATGGCTTAAAAGCTTTGTCCCTAGTGGGAAGAACAGATCTAAAAGGTAATCAGATCCTATTCTTGCTCCTTAAGATGAAAAGCTTCTTTTTCCTCTTTTTTAAGATAAAAAATTTGACTTTACTTTCATTTTTACTATCTGTATTGCATTAAAAAATATTATTATAGATCTTATCATTTTTGACAAACAGTCATCACAAAGGATGAGAGAGAATTTTAAAACGTTGGTGGAAGACACAGCACGTCAACAGAACATGATACGGGAGCTCATAGAAACTAATCAGCAGCTTAAGTAAGAAAATGGAAAAAGTCTCTTTTGAATTGTTTGTATGCAAGTGGTATTCGTTCTAAAAATAACTTCCTTGAAAATAATCTTGAAATATAATTTTCAATTTTGATTAAATACTAAATTTTTAAAAAGTTATTAATAGTAAATCTTTTGGTAATAATTTAGCTTAGATATGTAATGGTACCTTATATGTCTTGTATCGGTTTGTTTTGTAAGACATATTAAGAATGCAACAAAATTTTAGAAAGTGATTATGTTGTTAGGTATGTTTGATTTGGTTTATTTTTATTACTAAGAGAAGGAATTGTTTGTTAAATTAGAAATGAGCTTCAGCTGGAACAAAGGCGAGCAGCAGATCAGGAACAACGAGCTAATGACTTGGAACAAATTATGGAGAGCGTGAAATCCAAAATTGGTGAACTGGAGGATGAATCCCTAAATAGGGTTTGCCAGCAACAGACTAAAATAAAAAATCTTCAGAAGGAGCACACAGCTTTACAGGTACTGAGTTACGTATTTTCCTAGATAATGGTTAATGCTAAAACAGCACATTATGGCCGCTGGTGACTTCCAAGTTGCTTAGTTCAATGGTCCTTATCTTACTTGGGAGTTCCTGGGTGGTACAAAAGGTTAACACGCTCAACTGCTAACCAAAATGGTTGGAGGTTTGAGTCCACCCAGAGACACTTTAGAAGAAATGCTTGGCAATCTACTTGTGAAAAAATCAGCCACTGAAAACTCAATGGAGCACAGTTATACTCTGACACACATTGGATTGCCGTGAGTCAGAATCAACTCAACAGCAACTTTTTATTTTGTTGTGCTTTAAGTAAAATTTTTAAAAAATTCTTGTAGTTAACTAAAGGAGTGTGTTAGAGTCTCCCATTATGATTGTGAATCCATCTATTTCTCCTTATAGTTCTGTCATTTTTTGCCTTGTGTAGTTTGAGATTATAACGTAATACAAATTTTAAATTGTTCTACTGCCTGTTTTGAATTTTTATCATGAAGTGTCTCTTCTTTTGTAGTGCTTTTTGCTTTAAAGTCTTTTGTCTACTATCAATATAGCTGTTAACTTTCTCTTTGTTAGGATGTTTACATGGTATATATTTTTCCATCCTCATTTTGCTTTTTGGAAATATGTTTTTAAAAATTTTTTAATTAATTTTTTTATCATGGTAAAAATATATACAACAAAACATTCACCAATTCAACAATTTCTACGTGTATAATTCATTGATATTGATTAGATTCTTCATGTTGAACAAATATTATTGCTGTTCTTTTCCAAATTATTCCACCACCATTAACATAAACTAAATGCCTACTAAGCAAAAACTCACCCTTCTCTTCCTCCCTCCCACCCCTGGTAACCACTAATAATCTTAAGTTTCTGTGTATTTGCTTATTTCACCTGGCAAGATCATACACTATTTGTCCTTTTGCGACTGACTTATTTCACTCAGCATAATGTTTTCAAGGTTCATCCATGTTGTGGCATGGATCAGAAGTTCATTTCTCTTTATGGCTGAGTAATAGTCTGCTGGATGTATATGCCACATTTTGTTTATCCATCCATCTGTTGATGGACATTTCAGTTTCCATCATTTTGACTGTTGTGAGTTCAGTTTCCATGATTTTGACTGTTGTGAGAAGTGCTGCAAAGAACATTGGAGAATAGCTTTCTGTTTGCCTTCCTGCTTTCCGTTTTTCTGGGTATATACTTAGGATTGGGATTGATGAATCGTATGGTAGTTCTGTGTTCAACTTTTTGAGGAACTGCCAAACTGTTTTCTACAGTGGCTGTACCATTTTACATTCCCACCAGCAATGGATGTTTCTCCACAACCTCGCCAAAACTTTTTGTTTTCCCTTTTTTTTTATATTGCCATACTAATGGGCGTGAGGTGGAATCTCATTATGATTTTAATTTGCATCTCCCTGATAGCTAATGAGAAGCCCTGGTGGCGCAGTGGTTAAGAGCTTGGCTGTGAACCAAAAGATCGGCAGTTCGAATCCACCAGCCGCTCCTTGGAAACCCTATGGGGCAATTCCACTCTGTGTTATAGGATCGCTGTGAGTCAGAATCAACTTGACAGCAGAGGATTTGGATTTTCTTCTTTCTTTTTGAATGGCTAATGATGTTGAACATCTTTTCATGTGCTTTTTGGTCATTTGTATATCCTGTTTGGTGAAATGTCTGTTCAAGTCCTTTGCCCATTTTTTGATTAGGTTGTTTCTTTGTTGTTGTCCAGGTTTTATTTAAATATATTTTGGATAATAAACCCTTTTTGGATATATGATTCCTGAAAGTTTTCTTCCAATCTGTAGGTTATCTCTTCACTTTGTTGATAAAGTATTTTGATGAATAGAAGTGTTTAATTTTTATGAGGTCCCATTTACCTATTTTGTCTTTTGTTGCTTGTGCGTTTGTTGTCATATGAGATAATCCATCGTTAAAAACTATATCCACACCCCCCTGTATTTTCTTCTAAGAATTTTATGGTTTTAGCTTTCACATTTAGGTCCTTGGTCCATTTTGAGTTGTTTTTTGTGTATGATATGAGGCATGGATCCTGACTCATTCTTCTGCATGTGGAAATCCAATTTTCCCAGCACTATTTATTGAAGCGACTCTTTCTTCCCCATTGAATGGACTTAGAACTCCTTGTTGAAAATCAGTTGACCATAGACGTATGGGTTTATTTCTGGATTCTCCATTCTATTCCATCGGTGTATGTGTCTGTTACACCAGTACCAGGCTGTTTTAATTACTGTAGCTTTATGGTATGCTTTGAAATAGGAAGTGTGAGTCCTCTTACTTTATTCTTCTTCAGGATTGCTTTAGCTAATCAGAGTCCCTTGCCCTTCCATATAAATATGAGGACTGGTTTTTCCATTTCTGCAGAGAATGCTGTTGGAATTTTGATAGTGATTGCATTGGATTTATAGATTGCTTTGGGTAGTATTGACATCTTAACTATATTAAGCTTTCCAGTCCACAGATACAGAATGTCCTTCTATTTATTTTTAATTTCTTTTAGTAATGTTTTATAGTTTCATGTGTATAAGTCTTTCACCTTCCTGGTTAAATTTATTCCTAGGTACTTTAATCTTGTAGATGCTGTTGTAAATAGTCATGTTTCCTTAATTTCATTTCTCACTTGTTCATTGCTGATGTATAGAAATCTGACTGAGTTTATGTGTTGATCTTGTACCCTGCCACTTTACTGAATTCATGTATTAGTTCTCATAACTAATGTTATGGGTTCTTTGGGGTTTTCTATGTGTAGAAACATGTTATCTGTGAAAAGGGATAGTTTTACTTCTTCTTTCCCAATATGGACACTTTTTTTTTTTGTCGCGTAATTGCTTTGGCTAGAACTTCCAGAATGATGTTGAATAGCGGTGGTGAGAGTGGGCATCCCTGTCTTGTTCCTGATCTTAATGAGAAAGCTCTCAGTCTTTCTGCATTAAGTGCGATGTTGTTGTTGTTAGGTGCCATTGAGTTGGTTCCGACTACAGCGATCCTGTGTACAACGGAACAAAACACTGCCTGGTCCTACACCATCCTCACTATCGTTGTTATGCTTGAGCCCATTGTTGCTGCCGCTGTGTCAGTCCATCTCCTTGAAGGTTTTCGTCTTTTTCGCTGACCCTGTACTCTACTCAGCATGATGTCCTTCTCCAGGGACTGGGCCCTCCTGATAACATGTTCAAAATATATGAGACAAAGTTTCGCCATCCTCACTTCTAAGGAGCGTTCTGACAGTATTTCTCCCAAGACAGATTTGTTCATTCTTCTGGCAGTCTGTGGTATATTCGATATTCTTCACCAACACCATAATTCAAAGGCATCAATTTTTCTTCAGTATTCTTATTCATTCTCCAGCTTTTCCATGTGTATGAGGTGATTGAAAATACCATGCTTGGGTCAGGCACACCTTAGTCTTCAAGGAGACATCTTTGCTTTTTAACACTCTAGAGGATGTTTTGCAGGAGATTTACCAAATGCAAGGCATCATTTGATTTCTTGACCGCTGCGTCCATGGGCGTTGATTGTGGATCCAAGTAAAATGAAATCCTTTACATCTTCAATCTTTTCTCCATTTATCTTGATGTTACTTATTGGTCCAGGAATTTTGTTTTCTTTCATTTATGTTGTTTTTATTTTTTCCCATAAAAAACTTACACATACATTGATTTGTGACTCTAATTGCTCCCCCCATACTGTGACAGCACAGTCCTCCTTTCCACCTCTGATTCCCCATGTCCATTCAACCAGCTCCTAAACCTCTCTGACTTCCCGTCTTACCTCTGGACAGATGAGCTGCCCATTTAGTCTCTTGTATCTACTTGAGCTAAGAGGCACACTCCTCACAAGTATCACTTTATGTCCCACTGTCCAGTCTAATCCCTGTCTGAAGAGTTGGCCTCAGAAATTTTTAGTTCTGGGCTGATAGAGAATCCAGAGGCCATGCTTCTGGGGTACCTCCAGTCTCAGTCAGACCATTAAGTCTGGTCTTCTTACTAGAAT